TTGGAGACCACACCACTCTTTCTTTAAAACCTCCTCACATTTTCATACTTATTGAGGATCTCCTTCACTAACCGGGACCGGCTTCTCATTGACAGACTTTGTTGTTGACTTGGTAATAGACTGATCAATTTGCAGCCACATTGGCATGTTTTGTTCAGTACTACTATTTATAAACAATGCAGGCTTGTTAGGTACCGCTATAGTAACAGAGTAACTATCAAGCATTAGAATTATTGATGCCATTGTAGGTCTATCTACTGGATCTTCTTGGACGCAGAGTAAACCGATATGGATACATCTGATAACTTCATTTGGAGTACATGATTCTCTTAATGAGTGGTCCATCAACTCCATGGCCGCTTCATCCTTCCAAAATTTCCAAGCCTGTATCAAATGTGATCATTATTCAGTACCAACGAATTAACCCAAAGTAGAAAAATAATTATAATATTCTATGTACTCACATAGCTCAATAGATCCTCAGCTACGTCGGTTTCATAGAAAGAGCTGTTCTTCTTGCCACTTATAATCTCCAAAATGAGGACTCCGAAACTATATACATCAGACTTTGCCGAATATTCTCCGTGCATTGCATATTCTGGAGACATGTAACCACTGAAACACATATTGAACCATCAATACAGTACTGAAACAGGAGTCTAAAAGAATGACAAAAATAAATGCTCTTTTATTTTGGTTTGAAACAGCGAAGATGTTTGAACTAATTATGATATTTAGATTTTGTGAATTGGAAACCAATGCTTTCACAAATAAATGTCGCAAGTACTTACTATGTGCCTACAATCCTGTTGGTATTTGCTTGAGTTTGATCCACTCCAAATATTCTTGCCATGCCAAAATCCGAGATTTTCGGATTCATATTTCCATCCAACAATACATTACTAGCTTTAAGATCACGATGTATAATTTTAAGTCTAGAATCTTCATGAAGATAATGAATGCCTCGAGCAATTCCTTTTATAATTTTGTATCGACTTGTCCAATCCAATGATATTTGCTTATCAGGATCTGCATATTGAACAATGTCAACATTTTAAAAGAAGAATCTCTAATAAAGGTGAATCAATTTAATGGAATGCAAGATTAACTTGTCAAAGAATAAGCTTCCAAACAAATTTCTCGTGGTTGAGGTTCGGTTAGTGAAATACTGAATTGTATCGGTGTTAGTTATGCATAGCTTCCTTAATTTTGGTCTCATGAATGATTCAGACAAATTCTGAAAATTAAAAGTATAAAGCAAGACTAAAGAATTTGGATTAGATGAGCGTGAGCCTACCAAAAAGAATATAGTCAAGGCTTTTGTTGACTACAAATTCGTAAACAAGTATCTTTTCTTCCCCTTCCAAACAAAATCCTAGAAGCCTCACCAAATTTCTGTGTTGAAGCTTTGCAACCACCTCTACTTCATTCTTAAATTCGTCCCCACCTTGTCCAGAACTTTTAGAGAGTCTCTTAACAGCTACTTCTTGTCCACTTGGAAGCAAGCCCTGAATTATTCAAAAAAATAGAATGTCATATGTAGAAATTGGCTTGATGTACTTGTTATAATAGCGTGCTAACTTCATACCTTGTAAACCTCACCAAATCCGCCTTCACCTAGCTTGTTAGCATTAGAGAATTTATTTGTGGCTGCTTCAATTGTACTGAAATCAAATCTCAAGGATTCCACGGTGCTGATCTCAGTTCCAGCTAAGAAGATGAAACGGCATGTCTATCAGATAAAATTACAATAGCAAAGTGTGCAAGTGCAACAAAGAACAACCAAAGTCAATATCTTTTCAATTTAATTACTCTTCCTCCTTACTTTTTGGGTCTTGTGCAGAGTTACGCTTCTTTGCTGCCCTTTTACTTAAGATCCAAATGCCCCCAACAAGTAGCAGCACAGCAATTGCAATCGGAACCACAATCGCAACAATTGTCCCCGATGAAATCCCACTACTCCCTGTATTTCCAAAATGAAGTGACATTATTACAATTCGGTCAAATTTGCAAATTTCCATCGAATTTAACTGTTGTTCATGTTTCTCATGATATTGCAACTAGTGAATACACAACATTTGATGACGTAAGGAAGAAATCAGATTTTTGAAAAGTCCAAACCAAAATAGACTTGATTCATTTTATAGAAGTGTATTGATTGACTGATTTGTTTTTTTATAAAGTAGATGGATTCGATTCTTTTAAAATATGGATATATTTTTTTAAATTAGATAAGTTCGATGCAGTATTGGATATTTATTTTATATGTAAAAAAAAAATAGATTGAATAATTGAATTAGTTTTACAAAGTAGATCGTTTGAATATTTTTTCAAAATTAGATTCAATTTTTTAACGTGAATTGGTTTGGTTATGAATCGATTTGAATTATTTATTATTTTTTTTTGCACATTCCTAGATAAAAGAAGACAAAATGGAAGATGAGAAAATATAGTGTTACTTCTATTATTTGAGTTGCTTAAATAACCATGAAATATAATGAAAATTAACGATTTATTGTTTTGATCAATCTAAATATAACTCATAGCATAAAATTCTGAATTTCATACTTGCATTAAAAAAATAAGATTTTGCATAAGTTAATATGAGAGAACTTTGATAAATTAACTTATACGTATGAAGAAACTTTTATTTATTTCATTTTTTTAAATAATTGTGAAGAAATTTGACTAAACAAGAGCATATAATATTACCTGCGGAGTTAGAAGAATTGGTTGGAGTTGGAGTTGGAGGAAGAGAGGGTGATGGTGTGGGCGTTGGCGTTGGAGGGGAAGCAGTGGTGTCTGTGCGGTAGAAAGGGTACAATTCGTATCTAACATTACAGCTGGGATTTAGAATTCTCCCTCCTTGTTTTCCTTCACAGCACCATGGAAGGAGCCCTATGGCATCACTAAGACAACTTCTGCAACCTTGGGGTGACAAGTCCTGCGTGCACTGAACCAAACAATAAAGGGTTTGAAAGCCAGATATGCTTGCTTCATTGGTGCCGTATTTCTTGGCACCGATAGGAGAAGTGGCTGCTTCATCTGCTGTTTGGTTCATGGTGTCGAACATCAAACGCATGAAGCTTGCTTGGTTTGAGATATTGGCGCTGTTTGAAAGGCCAACAGTAGGAGTTGTGTCTACGGTGGAGAAAAAGGAGCGGTTGGAATAGCGAACCATGCACTCGTCGTACCAGATGACGGCGTGTTTGGACAGGGAGCACTTGGTGTCTGATGATAGTTTCTGTGTGGCGTTTTCGACGCACTGTCCACACTGCTGAAATGAGACGTCACCTCTGCACATGAAAAGTCCATAGACTGAGTCGGAGGGGTTTGTTCCTGCGACTGTGGTGTTGTGGAATTCGTTGTTGGCGGTGGCGTTGGAAGAGAGTGAAGAGAAGAGGGTCCTGAGGTTTAATTGGAAGGTGCTGTTGGCTGTGGTTCCGTTGCTTGAGCAATCCTGGTAAAGAAAAGTTGGACCCTGTGCCTTAGTTGTTGCCAAACTGAGGAAGATAACAAGGACAAAGAAAAAGAGGAGCTTCAAGTAATCCCAAAGCATGGTGTTGTTGATGCCACAAATGTTTGTGCAGCACCAACGTATACGGTGGTTGACTGGTTGGGTATGGACTATGGAGTGTTGCAATTTATAGGATTGTTTGGTTAGCATTTCTTGTTTCTTACTTTCCGTGACAAGTGCGAGCGAGTCTAGTCAGTCAATTTTGTTGCTGTCCACTTAAGTACCTCATTTTCTTCCGCATAATAATAATAAGGGAGTTACGGGACCCTCTAAAATTGACGGATTTTAATACATTTTTTTTATGTAAATTTATAAAAAATTTAAAAAAATATATATATAAATTAGAATGTGTTAAACTATAAAAATTAAAATATAAAGTTTTTTTATACAGCTAAACCATAGCGTTTATGCAACTATAAAATTGAAATATTAATTAAAAAAAGTTTACCCATGTTTGATTTCAATATTTGACGTTTGACTAATTCTACAAATTATCCCCTACCTCATATCTCAACGTGTGCCATGCAATTATATCTCAAAATCTCAGTTAAAACCCTACATCACATTATTTTGATAAGATGTGAAATAATGTAATATTTAAAGATATATATATATATATATATATATATGTAGTTAAATATTTTAAAATAATATATAAAAAAATTATTAATATTTATTTTAACAAGTAATTGATATATGTTTTGATTATAAATTTTATTTACATGATTTTTTATCATGTTAAGCTACTAAATATAACATTACTTAAGTATTAAAATTTAATGATTAGTAAATGTTAATTTGATGAGAACTAAAGTTTCTTATTTTTAAAATTAAAAAAATTAAATATTTCTATTTTAAAATAAAAAAATCAAAATTATAGATTAAATAAATTTAAAAAAAAAATACAATTTAACCTTTATTTTTTCTGATTATATTGTCTCTCGATTAACATCATAAGTTATATTAATTATGTTAATTATAAAGTTTTAAAAAATTTAAAGTATAAAAAAAACTACTCTAAGCTATGAAATATAACTTCAAAATAACTATAAATTTTAATTTCAAAATAATTGTATATTTTTATTTTTTTATTTAACTTTTATTGTCTCCTCCTTATGTTAATTAATTGTACATATCTATATCAACTAATTATATATATATATAATATAATATAATATAATATAATATAAAGAACATATTAATATATGTAATTTTTTGTTTTTATTTTTTAGTGTATCATTATATCCTTCATTTATATTATTTTTATTATTATTTATAATTACATGATTACATATTTTAATGTTATTAAGATAAAAATATTATAAAGATAGTCGAAATAAGTATTGAACTTAAATTATCATGTTTTTTAATTATTTGAATCCTTTCTCACTTAACGATGGGAAAATAACGAATTGCTGAATCTAAAGTCTCCCGAAAATCAGTTGGATACGTGTTGACCGGGTGAAGGACACAGTTGAAGTAAACAATAAAACATTATGCATATTTGAATTCTTTTAAAGTCACGGAGGCTTTCAAATTACTTTTTCAAAAAACTCTCTCTCTATATATATATATATATATTATTTATTTATTATATATAACTTAAAATTTATTAAAAAAATTAAAAACTGATAAATAAAAATTATCATCTTAATTAGTCCTTAAGAAGAAAAAAAAATACAGATATGATTCATATATATATATAGTGTGATATAAAGAATAATTTTTTATATAAAGAATAATTGAAAAATTATAAACAC